CCTCTACTTTAAATGCTTCAGGTTTTGGCATGAGCCCAGCTATAGGACATCTTGACTTTTATCCAAATGGAGGACAGCAAATGCCAGGGTGTGGGAAGAACCCTGTTTCACAGATTGTAGATCTTGATGGCATCTGGGAAGGTAAGAATGTTGATTACATCACAAATTGAGAGGAAGGTCACCTGTAAAATGTAACCACTTAACTTCTCTTAATTCAGCTGTTTTGTGTTAGCTTTTGGTGTGTCCACCAGCAATGGCAGGTGCAAAGTGCAATGAAGCTGTTAATATGCTTAAACACACCATTTTCCAGAGCTTATTCAAAAAATAAACAAAGCTAAGGGTTTGTCTCTGGAAAATATGCCTCCTCTAAAGAAACTAACAGAAACAAAAGTTACTTAAACTGTGCCAAAAATTTTGGAGGGTCTGTAACAACACATTTCACCGGGTGGAATAGAGCAATGGTGCTCAGAGACACTTTTGTTAGGGGATCTTCAGCTGCAGTTCTTCTGAGACAGAGTAATTAATTTAATATGCTTTTTTTTAAAAAAAAAAGTTACCTATTACAAATCTGGGTTGCATTAAAGCAATGTACTTGTGTCCATTTTTAGTCAGCTAAAAAAAGATTGGCAAGTAGCTGCTCAAATACGCTCTTCTTTGTTGGTTTACATGGTTCTAATAAAAGCTTTAATTATTAGAAAATTTCCATGTGTCTTTATAAAGTTAAATTGCACATAACATTAAAAAAACCCCACAAACCAAGATATCTGCTGTAGAGATTTTTTTTCAGTATATAATCCCAGCTCTTTCTTACATTACTGCAGCCACCTTAAACTCTGGGAATCCATGAACTTATTCATGGTAACTAGCCTTTTTCTCCAAGCTTTATTTAATGCAGCTGGAGGCATTAATTTTTCTTCCTTTCTCTCTTTCTTTTTTTTTTTTTTTTTTTTAGAAAGTAAACTTGCTATCAATAATGGTATGGGGAATTAAACAGCAAAGAAATAACTGTGTTGTATATGATCTTTTTAACCTAAAGTCAGGAAAATAAAGGCAACATAAAGGAAAATAATTTATTCATTATTTTAATTTTAAGAGTCTCCCTTCTTTAAGCACCTCCCCCAAATAATAATAATTTTGTTTTGAAGACCTCAGCTGGAGCAAATCAGCATTGCCCCAGGAAGTTCACTGTTAAATACTTTTCATTTTGTTTTTCTTTTGTTATGGTAATGTAACTGCTGCCTACAAAAGACCTGCTTTGTGCACTCCTCAGTTCTTTTGTGGAACTCGGTCAGATCCCTTGAATAAATGTTTGTGAGGGGATGGTAGGGCAGGGGCTGGGCTGAGCATTGCAGTGGGTCTCCACAAAGCATTTCAAGTTCACATTTTATACCTGTTGAGTCAGTGATGTTCCTTAGAGCATCAATTGCAAAAGCAAGCTTCAAACCCTATGTTTGATAGTCCAAGAATTGTGGTGAGGCTTTTGAGGAGGAAAGATGCATCCCAATAATGTTGCAAAGACTCTGACAGTATCTTTTCTTGAGTGATAACAGAAATTAAGAACTAACCTGTGAGTATCTTCTCACAGGAACTCGGGACTTTGTGGCCTGCAATCATCTGCGGAGTTACAAGTATTACTCTGACAGTATTATCTACCCCGATGGATTTCTAGGCTACTCTTGTGCTTCTTATGATGTTTTTGAAACAGTAAGTATTTCTCAGAGTCTCAGGATGGACCATATCAAAAATAGTGGTTCTTAGCTATACATCTGAAATTAAACTTATTTATGTCAGTTTGCACCCAAGGAGCACAGCTGTAAGAGAAGAAAGTGTCAGACATGCTAAAGTATTACAGCTCATGGAGATAATGTGGCTCAAAGTAGGAAAAGGTAACAACAAAACAGGGACATTCCTGGTTCTGTGCTGATGTGACAGTGTGAGGTACTGCTGGAGCTAGTGTGGCTTCCCCAGACCTCCTCTGCTGCATCCAGCTGGAGAAAAGGTAAAGAGGAGACCCTGCCCCTGTAATCACCAAATGCATTTATCAAACAGCAATGAGTGGAATCCCGTATGTAGCAGGTGAGCTTTCAAACAGAGCTTCAACATCTTCTTTTCAAAGCAAAAAGTAAAATAATATGTGATGGCCTGATGGGGTCAGTCCATGGTCAAAGTACTTTGGTGATTTAAGATGGCCTCAGGGAGAAAGCACGATGGTTTCTGGACTAGGTCAGGAAGCTCTTCCCTGTCCCAGACTGGGAGATAGGGAACTACAACCAAAGAGCAGCAGGGAGGTAATGGGCTCATCACATCCTACAGGCAGAAGTATAAATTTACATGGCACTTAGATTGACCTTTATATCTTCTGAGCAGGTGACAGAGATCACACTTCTCAGATCACTTTGGGAAAAGGTGATTTCCTACTTCTGTCACCATAGTAGGAAGCTGATTTAATGTCAAAAAACAAGTTTTAAAGACAAAGCCTTTCTTGAGCCAGTCTGAAGGTATGAGACACCATTCTTTCTCATCAGTTGCTGGGAAGGACACTTCCTCCTCCTCCTCCCTGCTCAGTTCAAGACTACTCAAGGATGTCACTGGTGTGGCCGGATTGAGCTAAATGGCACAAGAAAAAACATACAGCCTTGAAAAATCAGAGCTTTTGAGGAAAGTTGGCTAGCTTGTATGATCTTTCTCAAGTCACAGGAAGGGTTAGTTGAAGTTTGTTGTTGCTGTGATACAGGGCCAGTTAGGTGGGGATGTTAAAAATAAGTTCTATGACTATTTTTTTTTTTCTTGACTGGCTGGATAATTTTGTTAATAGATACATTTGTTTTCACTAGGAAACCTGTTTCCCATGCCCGCAAGAGGGATGTCCAAATATGGGTCACTTTGCAGATAAATTCAAAGGGAAATTTAAAAATGATTTTGTGAAATTTTACCTGAATACAGGAGAGACAAAGGATTTTGCTCGTGAGTTTTGATTGTTTCCATTCCTACCTACTCCTTGTAGACAAACGTTTTTATTTTCCTGCTTTACAATTAATTTTAACAGGTGCACAGACCTCATAGCAGCCTGATGGCTCTTCAGTCCTTTATGCCTTTTCCTCTTTTACTCCAAAACTAGCGCTCGAAACTGGGCTCTCCAGTTCAAGAAAGATGTTGACAGAGTCCAGTGGAGGTCACTGAGATGTTTAGTGGGCTGTGCTATAAGGTGCATGGAGAAAGGAGGATAGGCAATGCACAGAAGCTGCAGCAAGGGAAATCTGTATTAAATGGTATGAAAGTTCCTGTCACAATGGCAGTGGTCAAATACAGGAAGGGGGGGCTAGAGAGGCTGTGAAATCCCCATCTTTGGAGATGTTCAAAACTCTATTTGAGAAAGGCCAAGAGCATGCTGATTGCAGCTGGCCCTGCTTTAAGGAGTGGATGGAACAGATGACCTCCTTTACAACCTAGGTTACCCTAAACGTTAGCTTTCACAAGAAGGTTCTTCCCTTGCCTTTGTAAACAAGAATCAGAAGAAGAAGAGCTGCTTTTGCAAATTGTGTGCTATAAGAAAGTTCCTACCCACAAAAAATATTTTCCTTCAGCTTCAGATTTTTTTTTACACTCCTTTTACCCTGCTTATATTCTAGTATGTATCAGTATTTATTCCTAACACCTCCTTCTATCCAACTTCACCGTATATGAAAAACTTTGTAGTCAAAACGCTGAGATCTATATTGTGTTTACCATGTTATTAACTAGCTTTATGTTTTTTTTCTTTCTCCCAGAAAGTAAGACAAATGTCTAACAATTTCTCAGGTTGACTTAATTAGGCCATAATGACAGATTTGACTCATTAGTGTTTTGCATTTATTTTGCCTGGTTACAACCCAAGGAAGAGCAGGGAGCACCAAGATTCTTGTGTGAGAGAGAATATTATGCTAACACCTTTCAGTCCAGACAGTCTGCAAGGTAACCTCGAGCTGACAGTGGCAGGCAGGGATAATTTTATTTTGCTTTCAAATACACTGTACAGAACAAAAACTCGATACTTCATAATTTGGAGAATGTTTCTCCTTGGGTACAATCTAACTTTCTGTATTTCTTCTGTGTAGTTTGGAGGTACAAAGTAACCGTGACACTCTCTGGAAAGAGTAAAGTTAAAGGATATGTAAATATTGCCCTGTATGGAAGTGGTGGGAACACAAGGCAGCACCAGATCGTCAAGTGAGTTCAAAATTCAATAGAAAAAAAACTTCAGTTCTAGAATGTTTAATTAAAATTTTCAATTAATGTTCCTGTTTAAATTGGTCACATTCTACCCCCAGATACACCTCCCTGGTGTAAATGCAGTGATAATCCACTCACTGGATTTGAAGGCAGAAGTTTAGAATGCAGGATTTTAAAATGTTAGAATTTGGTGTCACTTGTTTGCTGTACCACCAAGGTCTTCCTGGACCTACACTAGCACAGTCCTGACCCCTTTATCTTTCACAGGCTTGTAAAATGTGGCTGCTAAAGCTACATCATGACTTACTACTACTTCCTGTGTCTTGTAACTTCACCTGCTTACGCTGAAGCTGCTTGCTTGCCTCCTGTGGTTTGGTTTATTTGCATTTTTCTTGTTTGTTTCAACTAAAATACCTGAAATGAAAAATAGGAAGAAGGCATTTTGGGGTAGGTTTGGACGTTTATTTTTGCATTGGTTTTTTTTTTATTTATTTATTGACAACTATGTCACTTCCACTTTTCTAAGAAGGACTTCACATCTTCACACTCAGCAGCAGGTGTTTGCTCTGAGTTGATCCCCATTTGCAGACATCCCTGCATTCACCTGAGCTCAGCCTGCCAGTGCTGAATGCCCTCCAGCACTCTCTAGCTGCTATTTGCAGGGCCTGTGTCAAGTCAATTGCTTTTCTTTTTTTTTCCCAGCAAATCATGCTCTAACCTACCACTTGGGATCTAGCAAAGAAACAAAAAGGCAAAGGGATTTTTTCCTGCCTCTCATTACCCACTACCATAAGCCTTATAATATAGAGGAGAGTGAACATGCTCCTCTGAAGGCAGATGAATGAGGAAGTGCAAAGCTAGGGCAAGGAATAACAATCCTGTCTTTCTCATCAAGCTTATTAAAATTATAGAGGTTTTTTCCGGGGGGGTTTCTGCTGGGTCCTCTGCTTTTTCCCCCCTCCTGTATCTCTCACAATATCATGTCTGCAATAACAGTTCTGCAGTGATAAAGGCATCACACATTCAAATGCCTCTGGACTTCATGCAGCAGGGGTAAATTTAAGAAAGCCATTCACCTTCAGAGCATGAGGGTGGGAGGGGGAAAGGCAGAGAATTGATGAAACTTTGGCTTGTATTCAGTGAGATATAGTAGCTGAAGCCATTACCACTCTCAAACTGCTGCCATTTAGATCTTGCTATATTCATGCAACATGAAATAATAGCCAGATTATAAACTACGGTGACCCAAGATCAGATGCACATTTAACCCGGTGACAGTGCTGCAAGTGTAGGAATCTCTGCTAGAGAGCCAGGCTGAGCAGCTGGTGCATAATTCTTTTGCATATCCCAAACATATCCAACATCTGTATCATATAAGTTATCATTAAATATATTTTTCACTTAGGTGCAAAAAAACTCGCCTACATAAGCAACAGGGAGCAAGATCTACCTTCTCCACAGGGTTTGTCCTGTAACTGAGTCTGCGTTGTGAGTTGTGACTGCAGCACATCAGGCCTACCTGCCTTTGCTTCTTCTGACAAACACTCATTTGGAATGAATTATGATGGAAATTGGCAATTATGTTGTTGCCATACTATAAGCTAAATATTTTCTCTCTGCTAAATTTCTGCTCACTTGCTACCACAGCCAGTCAGTTGATAGGGCTGGTAATTAATATGAAATGCCAGTATGACTCACATCCATAAAATGTTATTTTTCACAGGGGAACCCTCAAGCCAGATAACTCTTACACAAGCTTCATTGATGCAGAAGTTAACATTGGAACAGTTACAAAGGTTAAATTTCTTTGGAACAACAACTGGATAAATCCAACTCTTCCAAAACTAGGAGCTGCGACTATCACAGTACAATCTGGAGAAACTGGAAAGGAGTAAGTATATCCTTTATTTCCAATCTTGAAAGTTACTTGGGAAGATAGGTGACAAAATTATATGTGGGGTGAAAGCATTTTTACAGGAGAGCTATTTAAAGCATTCAAAGACTCTCAAGAAAACCTTTCCTTCCTTTCAAGACACTGCTCATCCCTAGTTCAGTTCACTACTGCTTCAACTCTTTGTCTTAAATAGCTTCAAGGAAAAACTTAAAATATTTCCAGGCCTGAGAAGAGCAAACTTCCTGTATAACCCTTTGGGTGAGAAAAATTAGCACTGGCTTGGATTGCCAGCATCATTCTTGCCACGTTCCTACTCACTGCCCACAAGAACTGGGTATCTGTATCTGAGCTTGTGTTAGGATGTCTGATTCACTGTCAGCTGGAACTGGTGGAAGTTTTCCATTGATATTGATGGTCCCTGAAATCATGATTGACAAGAGAGAATGGAGATAACAAGCCTAACCTTCCAATGAGGAAGATGATACTTGGAAGCTGTGCTTAAAAGGCTAAATCTAAAGTTGAGGGAAACAGGCTAAAACTGACTTCTGTAGACTTCCTGGAATATGGCTTGGATACTCAGATTGTAGAAACATCATTTACTGATCTAGCTTTACTCATTTTCTCGGACTTTTTAACCCCCTCATTTGCTTGATTGGTTATTTCATCCACCTTGTGATTAGGTATCTAGAAAAGGAGATACAGGATAACTTTCAGACCCATATAGAAATTCATAGTTACAATGCCATCACTTAAAAGACAACATAGGAGATGGAAACATTTTCAAGCAAAAAAAAATTATTACAGCCCAGTGGCATTACCTTTAAGCAGAGATCTTAAGTCCAGTTGTAGTTCTTATTCACCAAAGCACATTGCTGATAAAGCATATTTCTCTAGACATGCACTCGCTCTTCTATTGACTCATGCCCTTTGCACAAGTAGTTGTGACCAACCACATAGTGATGGTACCACAAAATATGGGGAAAAGTAACTGTAAAATGAAAGGAAGGCAGGCAGTGAACCAGAATTCACAGTCTATCAATGCTTTCCCCAGCAGTAATGTTTCAAATTTAGGAGCTCAAAGTGTATTGTGTCCAGTTGTGTCAAATGACAAATTGGTTTGACTTTTATATTTTTTTAAAAAATCGCTTGTATAATCTCAACAAATGTCGACAATTCAAGATGCATCTTTACTTTTTTCCTTCAGATTCCGTTTTTGTGGTTCTGAGACAGTGAGGGAGGATGTTCTGCAAACTCTTACTCCTTGCTAACAGCACATATGGATCCTCAAACCCTTGCTATCAATAAAAGCAACTCATGCGTAAAACATGGGAGCCTGTAGTCACTGCACTTCTAATACTGGTGTTGTGTGGTGGGATTTTCTTGCTGGTTTGGGACGTGGGGGTTAAGTCTGTAGATACCTCTCTATAGATAGAAATTTTAGAGTAGCTTTAGGAGTGAATAAGACAAAACCTGCTGAAAAATTCCCCTGATTTCAGCCTGTTTCAAAATCACTTCAGACAAGAGGAGGAAAGGGGGCAGGTAACAGAATCTGAATTAGTGGCTCCTAGGCATGGAGAGAAAGCAGACCTCCTTGTGAGTAGAAGGAGAGGAGAGGATTAGGGAAGCTGATGTCCTTAATCAAACTGGAGGCTAATCCGAGAATTAGTGTGAGATAAAGATCAAACAGAGATAGGAGTGTGAAGGGTTGCAAAATGAGGACAGAAGTTTAATTTTAATTACCTGTGAGAGATGGAACAGTGAATGTGATAGAGAACTGGTAATGGTTCTGGTGTGCTAATGCTGAACAGAGCTTGTACTATTTGATCTGGACAGAATTAATTTGAGAAAGCTGCACAGCAAATTTCAAATGTTAGTGAAGTTTTACTAAAATGCTTATAATCAGAACAATCACCAAATTGTCCTGAAATCCCATGTGCTGGCCCTCAGCCTTGAACAAACTGACAGATGATGTGGTCAAAAGAGGTAATGCTATGAGGGAGTTGCTTCTTTCTCTGCTTTTTGATAAAGACATTCAGCTGAAGTGTGGATAGTTCACAAACTCATTTTTGTCCCTATGTAATGCTGTCTCGGCTCCCTCAGCCTGTTCCTGGAGAAGTAGGTTGCTCTTCAGTTGCTGCCAGAGGAACACTATCCTCACTGAAAAAAATCCACAGAACTGCTGGGCCCTGGAGATTTACCACTCCTTGGGATCTTTTCTCTTCTGCAGTTTCTCTTGAAGTTCCCTAGACTGGGGCATTCTGCTCCTTCTGCCTCTCTGTGTGACCTTTCCTCTCCCAGAATGTCTTGTTCTGAAGGACATCAATCCCCTAGCAAGACTTTGGATTCCCCTTGTAGTGGTGGAGGTTGGAATCAATTTATTCTGTGTTGGAGCTCTGCTCTTCTAATACAAAAGAAAAAGCAGTCTAATTAATTCAGTGCATTCTGCCAGCTCTTGCAGGGTGACGGGAGAGAGAAGGGGCTGTAAAGAGTAGAAAAAGAACCAAAGAACCATCAGCATTGAAGACTGGCAACCTGTGGCCAGGCTCAGAGCTAGAATAAGTTCCTTACATGGGGCCTACAGGAAGGCTGGGGAGGGACTTTTGACAAGGGCAGGGAGTGATAGAACAAGGGGTGATGGCTTTAAACTGGAAGAAGGGAGATTTAGATGAGATATTAGGAAGAAATTCTTTCCTGTGAGGGTGGTCAGACACTGGCACAGGTTGCCCAAGGAAGTTGTGGCTGCTCCTCCCTAGAAGTGTTCAAGGTCATGAAGCTTTGAGCAACCCGGTCTAGTGGAAGGTGTCCCTGCTGATGGCAGGGGGTTGGAAATAGGAGATCTTTAAGGTCCCTTCCACCCCAAACAATTCTAAGTTTCTACAAAAACCAAACCATTCCTTGGTTTAACCCAACTGAAGAGAATATCCCCCAGCACTTTCAGTCTTGGTCAGAGATGCACAGGCTTGCTTCTATGTTTAAAAACCTAAATTGCACTTGTGCTTCTTGCCCAGATTAAAAAGCACTACCCAATTGTGCTGCCCCAGGAGCACAATATGAACCAAATTTTGATCTGGAGAATCACTGTTTTCTGAGACCCTGAAACCCTGCCCTAGGGAGGATAATAGGGAATAAATACATGAATTACTAAAGGGACACCCCTTACTATGCTGTCATAGATGTGTGGGGTATTAAAAGGCTAAGTCAATTTCTTGTCCAACTTCTCTCAAGTGGGAAAACCAATTTTTTTTCACTCTGATGATATTACTTGTGTCTTCCTCTCACTGCATTGCTTCTTTCCATGTGCAGCTCCTCATGGCAGCAGCGAGTGCATGACAAACACTTATTTTGTTTGCAGTTTTTCCCATCTGTGGTCAGCCTTACAGAGGTAGAATAAGAGCATAAGGCTTAATAAGTTCAAGGATGTGAATTGTTTGTCCTGCATCAGGCTGCGGTAAGTCCAGTTTTGGGTTGCTCCTGCAAAGCCTTTCTCAGCTCTCTGCGGCTGCACGGCCGCAGCTGTGCAGGGGGCAGAGGATTCAGCCTCAGGACTCTACCCGCTTTCACACTTCATTTGTGGCATCCAGTCCAAGGAAGAACACACATCCCCTCTTCAGGGAGATAAATAGTTAGAGGTTTCCTAGAGGATGCATAGCCATAGACACAGGAGATGGCATCTGACATTGGGTTTCCATGTGCCCTGCGTCCCTTTGACATAGCCTGCTTCCTTCTGCTTTGACTATGTTGTCTCTTCTAGAATTTGGCTTCCTGATCTCAGTACCTCCTGCTGAGGAAACCTCGAGAGGGTTATTAACTTCCTAACACTGCAAAAGAGTTTCTCCTTTGTCTTTTGTTCCTTTACCGTAGTATAAGCAGATTCTTGCCTACACAATTGTTTTGACAGTCATGATATTCTCTGCATTATCCTTTGCCATAGCCACTTCAGCAGCCCATGTAATTTTAACAAACACCTAACAGAATCAGAACGTTAAAGTTGACAATAGCATAATAAAAAATCTCCTTGTAATAATGAACTGGAGCTGCCGTCATCTTGTTTTAGCAGAGTAAAATCCGTCCCCCCCTCCCGAACACTTTACAAAGCTATTACATAAAATGCAATGTTAAATGAACAACAAATTACTTTCCCTTTAGCTAGCTTTTAATGCTAATGGTGCTATTTATTCCTGACCTTTTGAAATATTAGATTTTTTTAAATGACAACATAAAAAGAATTCTTGTTTGAAAACGTAAGCGACTTTAAAACACATGTTATTACTTGTAAGTATAGCATGCACATGCATCATTCATTCCAGTGTCCCATTTATGGCTAATTGGTATATATTTCAGTTGACATATATTGTTCTCCTGCAAACGTGTCAAATTCCTTAACGATGTCGGTGACAAAAGCATAGTGCTTGAGATATATAAATTACGCTCTTTACCATATAATCATTCTTATCTATTGGGAATGCTATTTGTGACAAATCGTGTTCAAAAATACACACTAAATTGATTATTTTTTTTTAAACTTTAATATCACACCATTCATGGCAAGTCTTTGATGGAATCTTTAAATGTAGAAATGTTTTGATTTTTATCTGCATCATTTTGTAGCTTTTGAAAAGCTCACTTTATTTATTAAAGGAAGAGTAGCACAGTGCAGATCTTAAAATGTATCTTTTGTTATCGGCATAAGAAAACAAATGGGCTATAATTGTGGATATGGAATGAGTAATTTGGCGAACAACGCTTTGTGCTGTAGTTTAGGTTTTATAATTCCTGCTAGAAATTACTATTATTTTGTTGGTGGGCAGCAGTGCAATCAGAATTTTAAATATGGGAGCAACTTGGGCCACATATTTTCATTACATTTTAGATTGCCATGTGCAATGAATTTCTCTCCTATATTACAAATCATCTGAGAACAATAAAAAAAAAATATTGAGGATTTCATGTGACTCTAATTATTACTGAGATATAGCAGTGCTCATTGTTGTCTTTAGACAATGCTGTCTATAGTCATTACTTTGCTCCATACATCAGTAGGATAATGAGGTTCTATCTTTCAAGAAATATTTGAGCGTATCTTAATTTGGCTTTGATGAATTCTCCTTCCTGAACCTCTTGAGGTTTTATTTTTTAATCTAGTTTGTCATATTAGAGCTTTCGTCACCTAGCCACAGCTGACAGTGTTATATAGGCATATTTATTTCCATACCTTTCTGGGATGTGTCCTCAGAGCTTGCAAATAGGAATTTTACAATGTTATGCCTGAAGGCTATTTTGTTGTTAATTTGAGTGTAAATCACAAGCTATTTTGTCACACCCTCCTACTACAGAAATATATACTCTGTATGTATTTAATTGTGAAACAAGGCTAGACTTGTTAAAATCTTGTTACTTTGAAAAACTGGAAACAGTTTATTTGACAAAAAGAGATATTTACTTGAAGAAAATATTGGTTTTTGCAAGAAAAAAAATAAGTTCAGATACACATTTTTTCCTCTGCAAACCCTCTCAAATTTGAAGACAATGAAAGAGTAAAATATGTCAGCATTTGTAATCGGTCAAAACAGAAGGCTTCAGTAGGGCCAGAGGAAGAAAGGAGAATGTTGATGTGATGTTCCCATAGCCCTTAAAGAAAATAATACTAATAGTGGCCTACATGCCACTTACTTCTAAGTTGTGCCTGTATACAAACAGAAACAAGAAGCAAAGTACTCTTTAAATTAGTCTAAATGTTGTATTCGGTTACACACTAGTGATGGAGTGGCTGCTACACTTGCTAAGATCTGGGAGACATATATTATGTGAGACCCAAAGACAAAAGTTGCATTCAAGTCCCTCTTTGTGTTACGGCCCATGTAATTACTGTTGCAGTACATACCCTATGAAAAATCTTACCTCCAATTGCATTAAGTGGGTAATTGCTTCATATCAAACCAATTAGGGAGGCGAAGGGGAAATAAAAGAGGATCTAAACCCCCAAAGCGATGCACTTGTTTGCATAATTTGCATTATTGTAATTTCACATATAATTTTACATAAACACAAGTCTCACTCTCATTAAAAAGAACAACAATGGACAATACTGGCAGCTTGGGTGTCTCAGTTCGGTGTGTGCAGTTTCACAGTTCGGATTCCCCTGGCAGTGCTGATTATCTTCTTTGGAGAGTGAGGTCTCCCATGAGGAGAGGACAAACTTTCTCACTCAGAAGAGTTTCTTCATGGTGGAGGAACATAGTCATCACCTTAATTACGTGGGACAAGAGAC